ATAAAAAAAATAAAAAAATTCAAAAAATTTCATTTAGTAGTTTATTATTAAAAAGAAACTATTTTTTAAGAATATCTTTGATATTTTAATAAAGCGCGTATACACCGAATTCATTATCCGTAATATGTAAGAATAAGTGCCGAAAATATTGCGTTCGGTGAAAATAACATAATATCATTCGCAGCGCACCAAATACGATTTGTTGTTTCTCCATCGTTCTAATACGATGCATTAACAAAACGCACGTGCATGCAAGAAATAGAGAATGAAAGAAAAAGAAAGCGAAATAAAATACCGAGAGAAGGAATGGAGAAACAGGAAAATAATTAGATGAGTAGCAGGAGCGATTATCATGTAACGCCTCATAACTTATCCACCGGAGCTCTCCTCCTCGCAATTTTGTGACCACATGCATGACGAGAGGTTCGCGCAGCTCACCGACGCATGATTAGCGCAGAGTTGCCATGAATAATTTTGTTTGCAAGTTAAATGAGAAACTGCCCCTTTTTACATACGCGTGAGCATCCGCGTGGAAGAGAAAGACGGAAGGAAAGAACAAAAAGCAAGCGTACCAAAAGAGTGTCTGCTCAAAACTTTTGAAAAAATTCCCTGATCTTTCAGATATTTTTGGAAGAAAAAAAAAATTGTTCAAAATTCCAGATAAAGAGAAAATTTTAAAGATTTTTTGGTGCACTTCCTAAAATAAATTTTTTTATTGCGTTTTCTAATGAGTAAAAATTACAATAAAGGTTATATACTGCATATATTCAATATTTTGTTAAAACATCGAAAGTAGACACCAGATAAACGAAAATTAACGAAGGATGAAAAATGTTCCACGGTATTACTTGAAAAGAGAAAAAACATTATATAGAATATGATCGTAACATCCTAAATTATATCAAGTCACTGAATGGTGATATGAGATGTGAAAAAAACTCTTAAAATAAAATTTAATGAGTAAAGCAGCGAATTTAACGAGAAAGGTGACAGTCCGCCAACTATACGTGAATTCCTCGCGACGGAATTCAACCTCACATCCATCATTCATAATTAGCTTCCCTTTTATGAAAATTTTGGTATAATCGTAATAAACTTGTTGCTAGTGAAACGAATTTGTGTCAAGAGACGACGAAGCTGGAGGGAAAAGCAGAAAAACGAAATATATAACCGATATAAGGTAGGTAATTGCGTATTTAAAGCGGAGGAGGAAAACGGAGGAAAGCAGCCGAGACCGCACTTAAATCATTGTGTTCATATATATATCTGCGCACCGATAGCAACCGATGAAGGTACCGTGGAGCATCTTTTGTGTGAGATAATGAGAAAGATTCAATTAGTCTGCGGCTGGCATCTAATGCATCCTTCCTGATTACAATTCGAGCACGCGCGACGTGAACATGTCAATAAAATTTTCGCAAAAGATGATAAATGCTGGCGTAATATACATAAGTTATTTTAGAATTGTGAAAAATACGTGTGACAATTATAATAATTTCTTATTACGACACTTCGTTGTACATGCGCTCTTTCTTTGATCATAAAAATATCATTAACAAGTATACACAATTTTTTCTAATTATAGAGAAAAATCTTTGAAGTTCTCCGAGTTCTTATTTCGCTGCAGAGTCCGCCAGACAAAATTTAATGACTTATGGCTGGTGCAGCTCGTAAATTACGAAATCTACGACCAGAGGAATATGCACTGCTCGTTTGTCGCACGTGCTGTCCTGGTGGAAAATTACGGCAGAAAATAGTAAGTTCCGAGACGTGGGTGGAAATACGACCACCAACCATTAAATAATTGATAAAAAAAAAAAAAAATAACTTTTGCTGGTTATATACTCATGGCAATAATAATTTCCAAATATGTGATATTTATGATTATATACAAAACGCCCAAATGTATATAAAACTACGCTTTTTGTTAAATTATGGGATCACAAAAATAATCATGAAAAATTCATATGTTTATTTATTAATAAATAAAGATTTAAATAAATTATTAAAAGAGTGAGAAAGAGTGATCGATAACTATATCTTATTATTTCTGCATATAATTCTTCGCTCTATTAATATTCTGATAGTAAATATAAAAAGCAAGAATATGATAAAGTCGAATGTGTTTTCGACGAAAAGGCGACGAAATTCCTTAATGTCACGCGGCAAAGTGCGTGCAATCACGCGTAGCTTTCAGTTAGTTTGATCGTCGGAATTTAATTACGGATAGATCGGATAAAGGCAGGCGGATAGCCCTTCGATGGCATTAGCTGTCGGCTATACGATCTCACATCGTCAATTCAACCTCTGCTGTATTGACATTCTGCGTTCTATATATTACGACACTGAAATCTCCTATTTTTTAGTGTTTTTTATCTTACACGAGAGATGTGGAAATACGATTGTCTAATAAAAAAGTGATCGCGTTTGGTGTTGGATACTTTTCAGATAACTGTGATATACAAAAATGATATCACATATCCAATAGACAATAGAAATAAAATAATGTGTGAGTAGAGGCATGCAGATTTTTTATATAAATCAGATCGTTAAATAAATTTTAAGAATCTAATTTAGAGAGAATTTATACTTCGGTGTTCCTCTACAATCGCAAAATGATAATTTTCGCGATAAAAAGCATTCTAATAAAAAATAAATTAAAAT